ATCACAAACACTCATGACATCCCCTCACTGCAGCTTACCTCAGAAATGTTAAAAATGTTAGATTTTTGTGCACAACTAAGTTAAGTTAAGGAAATTGCTAATAGGTTAACAAAGCACAAACTGATGAATCAGTTTTTTTAACCAACAAATGAAATCTGACATTGCTTTTGGATTTTACTTCAACATCCTTATTTAAAAATACTAACTAGTGAAACTGGTCTTAACAAAAAAAGATGGCTCCCAAAAAAGATTATATAATTGGACCACATGGACATATTAAACTAAGTTGTGTCTGTAATTAACATCATAAGTGTCTTCAGTCCTCTATTCAGTCAGGCTGTCTGTTTTCAGGAAAAGTTGTCTCAGGAGCTTAGAACAAAAATTACCAAGTGGTATGTTAGAGGTAAAAGCTATAAGACAAGCGTCTTGATGTTCTTGTGACCTCAGCTGACCAGATTATTCAGATGTTGAAGGTCCACAGGACAGTAGACAACCTCTCCGCATGTGGCCACAGGAGGAACATTGATGACAAATTGAAGAGACGGATAAAAAAGAGGCCAGAACTCCAAGGTCAAAGTTCATCAGTGTCAGATTGCATCATCCATCACCGTTTGAGCCGAAGCGAACTTAATGGTAGAGAACTAAGGAAGACACCACTTTTAAACGTGAATCATTAAAAAGCAATTAGAACTTGCCAAAATGCATATTTCTAGGACACAAATCTTCTTTGGACAGATGAGACAAAACTGGAGCTTTTTGAAGGAGGTTTGGTTAAGTTCTGTGTCTGTTTATTTTTGATCAAAGTGACAGCCGCTACAGAGAGCCCAATGAGCTTCATGAGGCCCCAGAGCCTCAGGTTGCAGACCCTTGGTTTAGATGATAATAAATCTGTGAGCTTTTGCGCAGAAAAAGAGAAAAAAAAAGAATATGGGATGAGTTTAATGTCTGACGCTTCCCAAGCGGAGAATTCCCTAGATAGGAAACTTAATCCAGAGGCCTTCTCTGACCGGACAAATAGACAGTAAATTAGTTTCGCATGACGGTGTATTAATAACAATAATAAAAAATGTGTATACAAAAGCTTATTAATGCACTGAACAGAGGGATGGATGGGTTTCTGATAGAAGCGAGGACACATATCGTCATTCTTCCTATCAACCTTGTAATGCACAGGAGAGCCTGCTAACCTGAGCAGCACAGCAGACAAACAAAAGGGGGTGAATGGGGGTACATTAGGACAGAAGAGCAGTTCATCTGCTAAAATCTTAGCAGCTCTTGTGGTCAGATTGTCTTTCTGGCTCAGCAGCAAAACAAGGCCTCAGGCAACATTTTGGTAAACACTTCGGTAAACACTTCATCTCTGTATAGATTTCTCCCTCCCACCACACGAAGACCCCGTTTACATGTAAATGATCTCCTGGAAATGTTATAGACTTTCTGAGGTTGGTTGTGAAAACTTTACACATGTCACACGACAACGCTGTGATCACAGTTTAGATGAGACTGAAGGCAACTTTGAAATCACTGAAGTTTCATGCCAGGTCACTTGTTGTGGTTCCTTTTATTTTCCTGGTACCTTTGTTTTCAGGTGCCTGCACTGTCATTCTTTTTTTTTATTTGTTATAAAAGACATTAGAAGGGGGAGCCAAGCATCTTTTATGATTTTCATTACTAACCCCAGGAAACATGGGTACCAGACAACATAGATACTGAGAAACAGGCACTGGGAACATTGGTACCAGGAAATATAGGTATCAGGAGCCATGGAAATACACACACCTGAGCAGAACTGAACTGACATAAACTGAATAGAGTGAGACTTGACAATGGAGATGGCTATAGGCACCAGAAAACATAGGTAGGCTAACAGGAAACATAGGTACAAAATATCTAGGTGCTGGGAAACATAGGCACAGATGAATATAGATATGGACCCCACTAACCGGTGCTGTGTCTTTAATATCGACACGTGTATGGGCATAGACGCATCTGTCTCGAGCATGAAAAAAAATTACAGGCTCGTTCAGTATTTGTAGAATCTGTAAGAAAAGTGTTTCCACTGACTCATGAGATGATACAGCACATATATTTTATATACCTGAAGCTCTGACAAATTAAAAAGATTGAGTAGCACAAATTGCTCACTGCACTCAGTCATTGTCTTATTCATTTACTTGCATGTGCGCAGGAAAACTGTTGACTGCAGCCGTACAAATTGCACATGTGAAATTTCACCTTGATGCTGGGTATTTATAAAAACTACCACACATTCAAATAGGTTTCCAGAAAACAAAAAGCTGTTGTCATATACACGTACGAATGAACAGAACAGAAATGCTTCGGTTTCACTAAAAGCAGAGTTGTGTAAACAGGCCTAAAAAGACCCCATCACACCTCTTCTCTCATCTCCTTCCATTAATATGCTCCCGTACACACACTCACACACCACCTTATTCCTTCTCCTCCCTGCATTCCTCCTGTCAGAGGGGCTGACAGACGCTCATCATCAGCAGGTACTCCAGCCCAGGTGGATCAGGTTTCCCGCTCACACAATTGTGCTGCATTTGCATTTTTATAGCCTTGTGTTTCCCACTTGAAGCTTTCAAATGCCTGTCTGGTGTCGGACCATGTCACACAGACGAACCCTCCTCAGGTGGCTCCAGGGCCATAATCCTGTTATGTTTTTCAGTATCTCAATGTAATTTTAAGATATTTCCATATATGTCTTGCAACCTGACCACCTCCAATTTGTAATTATTCTAACAATTTGAATTTTGTCACATTTTTTTAGTGACAAAAGAAAAGAGGATGTACTACTGATTAGGGATGTCCCGATCAGATACTCAGTATCAGTATCAGTGGCTGATATGGACATTTTTTTGAAAATCGGCAGTGGTGGACAAAGTACTCAACTCTAGTACTTGAGTAAAAGTATTGATACTCATGGTCAAATCTACTCCACTACAAGTAAAAGTTACTCAGTCAAAAATCTACTCAAGTAAAAGTACTGAAGTACTTACTTTTGAAAATACTTAAGTATTCAGAAGTACATGCATTTTAAAGTACTTAAGTACAAAGTAAAAGTACAAATTACATTTTTTCTTTTCTTTTTCTTGTCACTTCAGTAGAAAACTAAACTAAATATTAGTTTATTTAGTTTATTTCTTCATCATCAGTGACTTTTTTTAAGTGAAGAGAAAATAGAGACAGAGAGAAAAACAGAGAGAGAAGTAATTAGAAAGATATAAAGATTGAAATAGTGATTAGAAGTATATTAAATATACACCAACAAAACACAGGACCACACACCCAACATCTGTCCGCTCACCTAAAAAATAAATGGATAAATACATGGAGGGCATATATAAATATATACACATACCCATACATATATAAAGATATACAAACATACATGCCTACATTCATAAATATTGTCAGTGTATACACACTCAGTGACAGTCAGAACTATAAGCTACGCATGTGATTGGTTACCTTTTGACGAACATATCTTGTGACCAATTGCATTTCATGAAAAGAAAAACCGGAACAACGGATTTTTTTCTTTCTTTTTTTTTCAGCGGATTATAAAGCTATGCTGATCTAAAAGGAACGAGTAACTACAAGCTTCCTAGAAATGTAGTGGAGTAAAAAGTACAATATTTGTCTTTGAAATGTAGTGGAGTAAAAGTAAAAAGTTCCCAAATAAATAACTACTCAAGTAAAGTAAAGATACTCAAAAAATGTACTTAATTACAGTAATAAAGTAAAAGTACTTTGTTACTGTCCACCACTGAAAATCGGGTAGAGTGGATTTAGTCATGTGATCGGGCCGATCCAGTTTTCACGACAGTTTTCAGCATCATCATGCTTTACAACTGCTGTTAAGAAGTCAAGACGCACACAAGTATGCAACCATGTCCACAGTGTGGGAACACTTAAAACAATGATGCTGAAACTGCATCTTGCAAAATTTTCAAACTGGGTGTTTATCATACCAACCTTGTCACTTGGAAAGAAATAAAGAAATAAAGCTAACGGATCGGTATCGGAAAGACTAATCATTAAAACAATTGGATTGTATCGGGAGCCAGAAAATCTGGATCGGGACATCCCTACTGATATATTTGGCTGACTGATATCTAAAAGACTGTGTGTTTGTTAAAAATACTTCATGAACTACTGACAAAATTTAATTGAAACTCTCAGAAAATAAACTGTGGCTATGAAGCTATAACTGACAAGCTTTGGGGTCAAACTGATTAAAGATGGCTGCCAGCGTTAATAGATTTTAGCAAAGACTAAAATGACTACTTCAGCCTTTGTTGTACTAGGCGGTGGGTATTATGCATTATTTTAAGACATGTACTTTTTAATTTATGTACTTTGGCGGTTAATTTGAGTGCCTCAGTGTGAAAAAATTGTTTAATTTTGATTGAGGTGACTAGTTTATGGCTAGTTTAAGAAGGGCAAAAACCAAGGTGGATTGTAGTCATTGTATAACAACTCCAGTCTCAAAATGTTCCAGTAAATTTCTAGTAGTTAAAAAATAATTTTTAAACCTTGAAGTCACCATCTGTTTGACACTACACATTTATTCATACAGAATTCTGTGGCTTTTTGCAAAACCAGCAGCTAGCTGTAGCACTTCTGCTGCTGCCTAGAGAACTTCTGTCAGGAATATCAAAATATTTCTGTGAATAACTACGTAATGTGAAATTATTAGCATTATAAAGTAGCGTTCTCACAAACTGCAATGAAAAAGTGGGAGCAAATCCAATCAGAGATCTATCTACAACAGGTAAGACATTCATTGTTCACAACCTTCTCACAGAAGCACATTTCTGTCTGTTGAGAATGGGCACAACTTGATTCCAAACTGCTCTCAACCCAACAAACATAACGATTTGATCTCAGACAGCTTTCAAACAAATTATCCATGCAGTAATTGTTGTCTTGAAGTGCCTTTTATTAATTTATGTTTGTGTGTCTCTTTCTGACAGATGTGGACGAGTGTTCTGAAGGCAACGGAGGATGCCAGCAGATTTGTGTCAACATGATGGGCAGCTACGAGTGCCGCTGCAGAGAAGGATTCCTCCTGAGTGACAACCAGCATACGTGTATCCAAAGGCCTAAAGGTTATTCACACTCCCTCACATTCAGGCTTGTATTTCAGACAATATTTAGACGAAGATGCTGTCAGATCTTTGTGGAGCGTGCAGACATTCAGGTCTCAGCCTTCTTTTAATAATAAGTTGTACAGATTTAAATGGTGAATGGGTTCAGCCCTAACAGGCCTAAATGAAAGGTGAAAAAAAAGTTAAGTCTCTGGTCTTGAAAGGCAAGAGAAAAGAAAGGCACAGGGATAAATCTCTTTTTGTGTTCTACCCACCATTTCAAATTGAACCAATCTAGTGCTTGGCAGCATTTTAAGGTATCTGTGGAATGAGAGTGGCTTGCGGCGGACTGCGAACAGTGAAAACAATTAAAGGTGTAGCCCGGGGCAGACACACCTCTTGTTTATAGAGCGTTCCTGTGAGATGGCGACGTGACAGGAAAAAGAGCCAACCTGCTCTGTGGCTTGCTCACCACATACAGCAGCGCCACACACATGCACATGTCCAACTAGGCTGTCAGGAAATCTCTTTTTCTGAATGCGTCTTGAAGTTATCTCCAGTATCTGAGCTCATCAATTGCTGGTTTGAAGTTTTGTAACAAATCATTTCCAGTTTATTGAAAAAAATCATTTTGCTGCATTTTTGTAAAAGCCTGTTCTATTATGAATGAGCTATGTATCTTTTTTGTTCTTCTATACAGATATGGATTTATCCAGTCTAAAGATTTTCTGTTCATTTGACCAGACCTTTAACATGAAAGCACAAACACACAATTTCAAGGACATTTTGATTAATTTCCTGATAAATCACTTAGCTCCAGACTGCTTTTTTTGTCATCGAGACGATTTCTTTCTAGTCTGGATGACAATCCTACCAATCAAGCAAAAATTACTAATATTTAAAATAATATTCTTACCAGTAAAAATTACAATTCAAGGTCCCAACTGAAAAAAAAGTTTTAGATGTGTAAAGTTTAAGTGTGTAAGTTTAAGTTTAAGTGTGTTTTAATTGTTAATCTTTCTTCCTATTCGCACATTCTAGTGTCATTCTTCCTAGGACAAATTTGTGTTAGCTTTCCAACCTGGAATAAATTTAATAGAACATTATCACATGGAGAAAATCACATTTCTGTTATCTACATTGTACTTATGTTGTGACAGAACCTTTGTGGCAGTTTTATTTATTATTTATTGTTTTTTAACCAGGCAAATCCCATTGAGGTTGCAGATCTCTTTTTCAAGAGCAGCCAGGACCTGAAAAGCAGCCTATTGTACTTATGTTTGGGGGTGGGAGAAATCCCAGAGAAAACCCACACAAGCACAAGGAGAACATGCAAACTCCACAAAGAAAGACACCAGGTTCAATCAGGGCATCGAACCCAGAACCTTCTTGCTGTGAGGTGTCATGCTAACCGCTGAGCCGTGGTGCTAAATGCACATTATTATATTTTTTTTCTTAAGAATCTCCTTTAGATGTTTATGATGTTCAGTCTGAATAGAAAGGATATATTTGTAGATACCTAGAGCTGAGAGCCCAATACACATGAACAGAAAAAAACAATGTTGAAAAAATAATCTTTGAGAAATCTGAAATGTTGATTATGAATCTGAAAAATAGCTAAAATTTTCTTTTTTACCAGGAAGCTCATAGTTATGAATAAAAGCTCCGAAGATCCTGTGTGATAAAATCAGCTTGCCATAAAACAGAGTTACAGTCAATCTAACACAGAGAGAGGTCAGATCAATAAGCATCACTTTCATCATCAGCCCCACAGTTCTGTTTGGTAAATTATTATCTGGGCTCTGACTGATGGTTATAAACTGCTGGCAGCATTCAGTTTTGAAAAGTTTACAAATGTTCTCAATTTCCTTACATAAGACATGTGGCTTTGCTCTTTTGTCACAGGGATATTTAACATTTTTAACATTAGCTGTGGGTGTTTAGAAAACCCTCTCACTTAGATGCCATAAGTCAGAAAGTGTGAGAAATGTAAGACAACTTTGTGAGGAGTTGGTGACGTATGAAACCAAATTGAATTTTCAGAAACAGCATGGAGAACCAGACTTTACGGACCCCATGTGAGATGACTAGTCTCATCTGCAGTATCAACAAGGTGGCCTTCAGAAAGTCAGCCTGGTTCTCATCCAGGATCGAGTCCTTATCCAGCAACTTCTACACTACTTCTCTGAGGTTCATATTGTTTGTTGTTTGGTGACAAAATTGCTCAACTGAGGAGAGGCCCTGTATTCACATGATCCAGATTTCTCTTTTGTCAGATAACACTTGCACCACTATTGCACAACATTCTTTCGACTGTGTAGCAGCAGGTGAAAGGGTCAAAGATTCATAGTTTTGCCACAAGAATGTCATGTAGATATCCTAAGAATATTGTCCAACACTGGTAGTTACTCATACTTCAGGTGAATTTATACCCAATTTTGTTTGGAGTTTGAGTAATAAAATTTGTGCAACATTAATTAGACATATTATAAGCAAATGTTACAATTTAGTAAGATTCCAAATGAAAAATCTGAATATTTTCTCTCAGTTTTGTGTCATTGACTAATCACCAGCAGTAGCAGCTCAGTGAGATGCATCACCAATAGTTTCACCAGTAACGTCAAAAATATCAGGGACCTCATGTATCAACAGTGCGTACGCACAAAAACCTTGCGTATGCCAGTTTCCACGCAAAACTCCGGATGTATCAAAACTCAACTAAACGTGGAAATGTGCGCAGCCCCACGCCAAATCCAGGGCTGGCGTACGCACGTTTCTGTGGTTCTGGTTCCATTGGCGACACTTAGAGGTGATTCTGAGAAACTGTTCATGATGTGAAAATGATTATTGTTTACACCAGACACACAAGATTAACAATTATTACATCCACATGGACACAGTTAGATAAAAGACGCTCAAAGTTGTGCCAAAAAAAAAACTTTATCAGGAATGGATTCAGCCTTACTGGAAGATGTAATAAAGAGTGTAACAGGCAAAGCATTTATTTATAAACAGATATAAATTTATGACCCACGCTGACGAGTGGCTCATCAACCATTTTCAGGCGTAATCCTTTTTCAGTTTGGCACTGCGGCGCTTTGGGAGCGCGACACAGTGGGGAGCCGTGCGACACGTGTGCAGCAGCAGCGATCAAACTGGGGTTCCACAGGGGCTTTCCAGAGGGAGCTGGCAGACCGATCGGGACTGTGCCAGTCCAGTCCAGTCCACCCAAAGCAGAATCATGACTGATGGAACAGCCTCATCCATCTGAATCTAACTCTCCATCATCATGTCATGAAAACTCTCTACTGAGGCGCAGAGACTCATACGCAGTTTTCTGGATTTGACCGTACGCCACGTTTCAGTAAGAAATCCACGCAAGTCTTTGTACATGAGGCCCCAGGTCTTTGTGGTGGCAGGAAAGAGACGGGAGACAGGAAAAAAAACACTGTTTTGTGTTGATTTTTATGAATTTATTACAAAAGAAATGTTCAAAGAGTAGAACGTGTTTAACTTTGACAATCAGAAAGTACTTTTTAATAGGGGTGCACGATATATCGACACTAATATCGGTATCGGCCAATATTGGACATTTTTTTAGAATATCGGTATCGGTCCGATATGTAAAACTGGGCCGACATTAACATCGGATATTGATTTCCCACTTTTTAGTTTTATGTTTCTGTTTTGGGAGGGGAGATGGTTGGTTGAGCGGCATCTATTTGATCAGGACAGTGATATTGACTCTGTGTAGTCAGGAAAAACTGAAGTAGGGAGCCATGTCAGAGGTCTGGTCATTTATTTACAGTATCGAAAAAAGTGTGTTTGTGCGTATATGTATATGTGTGTTTGTGTAATATCTGTAAATATCAGTTATCGGCCATAACAGCAATAATTAAATTGGATATCGATATCGGCTGAAATTTTCATATCAGTGCATCCCTACTTTTTAAACAAAGCTTATTAGAAAAATGGAACAAGACCAATCTTATCAAGTGCTGTATGAAGGGCAATGACCTTACCTTAAACACAACAGTTTTGTTACCGTCTGATGAGGACGAATTAGGAGATCCATCAATATATCATATTTTTATAATTAAAGAGTTGTGATGCAGATGTCAGAGAGAAAAGCAGAGGAGGTTGCGAATGGTAGGTCGCATGTTCAAATCCCCACATTCGCATATAACATTTCTGTGGTAAATGTGAAGCACCCACTTCTGCCTCCACACTCATTTATCAAACTGTGGGCCCTTGAGCAAGGTCCTCAACCCTCCAGCTGCTCCCTGGGCACCTAAGATGGCAGCCCTCTGCTCTATGTTTGTAATAAAAAAGGTAGAGAGTGAATTTCCCCACTTGGGATTAATAAAGTAAGCAGTTTAATTTTTTCTTAAACTTCCTTTTGTAGGTTATTGTTGCTCAAGTTTTTAGTTTTGCTTGTTCGATTGTTTAACAGATCCATCCTCTCCAGAAAAAACTGCAAAACCACTGCTTTTTTCACCGTGGTGTAAATTTAACACATATAAAATTGTGTTTTCACCACCACCCTGGTACATGACACGACACAGAAAACCAAAACATTTGGCAGTTTTCACACATTATGTCCCTTCTCCACACCATTCCATACTATTTATCTTTTTACAGCGTTTTCAACCAGTTCAGTTTCATGTGTTTTTGACTCAAAATAAATCAGTTGCTTCTTGGTCTGTTCTGTAATGTGTTGTTGCTCTGCACGGCATCCTTCAGGGCCGACACTGCCTCTGTAAAGCCAAACAGAGGGAACAGCTGTTCGCATCGTCACAAAACAGATTAATTGGAGGAGCAATTATCCAGCTGTCTGTAGATCCATCAGTCTGTTAGAGAACTTCAAAGTTTGTTTCTTGAAGATGGTGAAGTTTTCTACAGCTCTCCACATTCATAAACGAGTGCATTAGAGTGTCTTCATTGTTCCTGTGTCATCTGTAAGCGAAACACTCGAACTGAGACTCATCAGACTGAATGTTCTGAGCAAACTGGGTGATGAA